GTTTGCTCTTGGCTAATTTAAAATAATCAGTACACTATGTTTAAGCTTACAAATAGGCATCAATTTATGTAAACTATAGAGAATGATTAAAATCAATTAGAGAATACTATAATTCATATGTAGTTAATCATTAAGTTTTTTCTTTAGGACACATTTTATAATTATTTTGTTATAAGTTTAAATATAAAGACTACAGATGTATGAATAAGTTTGTCTGTTTACACATATTCTGTATTATTCTATATTTGTAAATTGATGTTCTTATAGCTATATAGCTGGTGATATCAACAGATGTTATTAAAACTGTAGAAGAATAAGTGAAAATTATTAGGAAAAAATATTTATGGAAGGTATGTGTTTAAAAAAATACCCCTACATATAAATTTAAAAATTACTTAAAAAACACAAGTCTCAATAAAAAATCATAATAAATAACCATAGTAAAATATCACAACCTCATAAAACTCCAGAATCCTGCAAAAACAAACCTGCCTCCTGCCTGCAGCTGAGAAAGGAAACCTCCCCCTGCATGGGCTCCTGGGTCCTCAGTGGGTCCCGAGTGCCCCCTAGTGTACCCGCGCGCCCCTGCAGGGAGGTTTGTGTCTGGGCTCACACTGACATCCTCTCGTTGCGTGTCTAGTAGAGTAAAAGATGGCCATGTCCTCAGTTTTCAGGATGTTCATTTGTACAAAAAGCTTGTTTTTGGCGTTGTCTGTGGAGATGGTGAATCGGCCCTTCACGGAGTCTGTGTAGTATGTGCCGCCTCCACCAGGATTGATTTGTCCAACCCACTCCATGCCCTTCCCTGTAACCTGGTGGATCCAGTTCATGTGGGAACTACTGAAGTTGAAGCCAGAGACTGCACAGGAGAGTCTCAGGGACTTCCCAGGCTTTGCCAAGCCTCCCCCAGACTCCACCAGCTGCACCTCACATTGGACACCTGCAAACACAGAGACATCCTGGTCGGAAACTGACACACACATACATCTACTGTTTCTCTCACTCGTGTCCACTCACACTCAACATCGCTAGTTCTCCATAAATCACCTTTTATGATAGCAACAAGGAAAACCCAGCTCAGCCCAAACTCTATGGTGAGTCTTTTGTGTTCGGTGCTGATCACCAAACAACTGAGAATTCTAGGGCTAGGCTCCTCTCCCAGAGCTGCAGGGTCAGAGCTAGGCTGGTT